ACTCCGACATTCTCCCCCCTGATTTCAACTCATCTGCCATGAGAGGGTGATGTACACGAACCCGGCAAGTGTGACGACAGATGGGCAACATTAAGTTGCGAAGGTCACGGGTTTGGATTGTAGAGTGGGTGTGGCAAAAGTACGATAATTCACCATAAAACTGTAGTTTTAAAGTTTTTGCATGAGGGTCCCAGTGCATTTGATTTCCATGAAATCTCACACCGATGGTGAGATTGGTGACAATAATGTTCTCGAATTTGGATGGAGCTTGGTGGAGACAGATACATTCCCAAGGCAAGGGCCAACTTGCTGGAAAAAAGGATTTCCAGGGAGCGCTAGCTCATCTCCACAGCAGACACATCCACTCTGGGTGGTATTTGCAACACACTGGCAACCTTTCAGCCTTTTCCGCACAGCGGTGGAGGGCACTTTTCAAGGACAATGGAATGAAACTAGCTTCTTTTTTCTTTCCACAAAAACATGGAAAAAAAGAGAGTGAGAGAACGTACACTTTCCCTAAGGCTTTAACATCATGTCAAAATGAAAAAGAATCCCATATCACCAAATTTTATGACTTTTTGGGAAAGGATGGGAAAAAAAAATAGCTTTCGCCAACGAATTCTGCCTAGCAACAAATGACCAAATCAACAAAACCGTGGCTGCCATTTGCTCGCGCACCTGCTAGCTCGCTTTAATTCAATTTTAGTTTGATGATTTTAGGGTAGGAATCCATCAAAATGGATACGATGTTTAAATGTTAGCGATAGTAAATCGATCTTTAGGGTCGCAAAAGTGACTTTGTCCAACAAATTCTTCGTCGTAATAAGTGATGAGCAAAACTATTCAAGGCAATTCGGTGAATGGTTGATATGTGCACCTGCTGCGCCGGCTAACTCAATATTGGTTGTATCGATTTACCGGAGGAAGTCCCCTCACAACATTAGTTGTTGCCTCAAATATTTGGATTATTTTACAAGGTTTTGTGCGCGTTTGCTCACCGAAATGTCATGGGAATATCCCTCGAAAAACGAATAGTCCACATATGAAAATATTTGCCAAAACCAGGCGGGAGCACCAAATGAAACCTATAATTGCCGTGGCGTAGGGAGCCACAAACCTCCCCCCCACAACAAAACGTACACACACGCACACACCGTGACCTCATGTCACTTGTCGTTTGATATTTCAACACACCAAAGGGTGGCAAACTCCGGATAAAAATAGAAAGCACGATTCGTGTGTAATTCGTGTGTCCTCAAACACACCGCTGTAGGGATTACAAGTGAAAAAACGGGCTTTCTCCCTAATGCCCCTGAATGTCGCCGCGGTCCGCTGACCTGCAGGGGAAAATACTGTCATCGCGTTGGTTTTAAGAGCAAATTATAATTTCAACTCACCTTTGGCAATGTTTTTCCGCGTCTCAAGTGCGATGTTTTCGGAGCTTGCCTACGTGCTCCCCTCTATCCATCCGCTCATTCATTCATATGTCACAATGAGTGAGGTCTTTTTACCACACGAGGATTGGATGCCACAGTCCGATTTTATGTCTGTATAAAAAAAGCGTCTAAAATATGTGAAAATGCTGGTTAAAATTAGTAAATCTAAACGAGCAACGTGTGCCGTTTCATCGTCGGTCGTTCGTCCACTACTAGAGGATTCACTCCCACAGATTCCAGTTTGTGTTCGCCTCGCTCCTCCTGGGTAACCGCCAGCCAATCGGAGATCGAGAAGGCGGGGCCAGAACGAGTTTGGCTTCCGGGGTTCAGACGGCAAGCGCGGTGGATCAAAAATTTTCTACAAAAAACACGGGAGCGTTCTCACAGTATAAATCTTATTGAACCTAAACGCATTTTAAGAGCATTGTACTCGATTTAAATAAAAATAATTTGACTCATAACGGGAGGGTTCTCATCGTATAAAATTTATTGAACCTAAACGCATTTTAAGTGCATTGTACTCGATTTAAATAAAAATAATTTGACTCAAAGAAATAGTTTTCTTAAAGTCGTATCGTTCCTGCTTTATTAACATTTATGTAACAAGTATGGGAGTATGTTTGTAATTCACACACTGCCCTCAATGAACCCCAACGCAACACAGAAAATGTACATCAAAATATAACTGGATTGAAAATTCCTCACGCATCATGTGAAAACGTAATTCTACAAAGATATGAGTAGTAGTCAACAGAAATATATTTTCACCCCGATTTATAATATATATACAATGTAGCTATACATATTTTTTCATTATTATATAACTCAACTACATTCAAAGAAAAAAAAAGACTATCACTTCAAAGATTTTGTCAACAAATACACAACTTTCATCATGTTCAAACGGATGAGAATTCTCAAATTATATTTAAACCATTTGAAAACATTTTTAAAAATATAGACAACTTTCCCAAAACTATTTAACCCGAATGGCCATGTAACATCCATCCATTATCCGAGAGTCACAGGCATGCTGGAGCCCATACCAACTGACTTAAATCTAATTATACTGTATTTAACCCGATTGGCCATGTAACATCCACCCATTATCTGAGAGTCACAGGCGTGCTGGAGCCCATACCATATAATATATATACAATGTAGCTATACATATTTTTTCATTATTATATAACTCAACTACATTCAAAGAAAAAAAAAGACTAGCACTTCAAAGATTTTGTCAACAAATACACAACTTTCATCACATTCAAACGGATGAGAATTCTCAAATTATATTTAAACCATTTGAAAACATTTTTAAAAATATAGACAACTTTCCCAATACTGTATTTAACCCGATTGGCCATGTAACATCCACCCATTATCTGAGAGTCACAGGCGTGCTGGAGCCCATACCAACTGACTTAAATCTAATTAACATAAAATACACTCAGAGTCATGTATTGGGGTAGTAACTAATAACCTGCAAGCACCCTTTGTGGTACGCATTATATCGAAGGAATAATTCGAATATTTGGTTACAAGACTTTCCACACTTCAATTCAATACCCCATAAAGTTTCTTCCCGGGAGGATACGGGAGACGTTTTATTATCATATTTTCCAGTCCATCCGTCATTGTTTTCGTCTTGTGTGAGAGCCGCCACGGTCACGGTAATTGGTGTGCATGAGTGGACGCGCTGTTCCATCCAATGCATCCAAATCCAATTGAGTGTGCGCCCTTCCAAGAAGCAAGGGGAGCAGATAATGTTTTTGTCCCTCTTTATCCATCACTCGGCATTAGAACGCCAGGAAGGAAGAAAAGGGGTCCCTTAACCCCTTGGCCATATAATTCATATTTACGCAAGAGGGAACATTTTTTTTTCTTTTCCATACATTCACCTTTGAGCTTTCATCTGCAGAAAAGAGAAGCTACATAAAGAAAAAGGGCTGAAATTTCTCAAGTTTTTTGTGAGCAGTGAGTCATACAAGACTCGAACAGGCTCAGGCTTCCTCAGCTGTTGCAAACTTGGGCCTGTAATTACATCTGTCATCAAAGTCAAGTCCTGACCGCCGGCTGGATTTATCGCCATGTATGTACACGTACAAATATGAATCAGCCATGTTTGCGCGTACTCGTCCTTATGTTGGACTCGTTGGGCTTTAAGAGGGGGTCTACCTGGTGCCAACGTCTGACCAGCATTCAGAGAAAAGCAGAATCAACTTCCGGCAAGTAGCCTCCAAACGATGGCCGCTGAGGTTTGTAATGACAGCTTGTCGCTGTTGTTCCGTTACTCCCAAGCGCCCCGCGGGAATGTCTCCGGCCTGCCGAATGGAACCCAAAGCCGACTTGTCTGTGTCTGATTTGGCAAACTACGCTCATGTTCGGTCGGCATTTTTGAAATAGTCTACTTCATTGCCATCGCTGGAATGCAACGCAACAACACAGAGGGGGTGTGCCAAGTCACTGTGGGGGGGTCAGAATCAAAGAGGGGGAAGGAGTCAATGCCCGAACTACAGACCGTAAGAAAAACAAGGAAATATGATGAAATACAGAAGGGGGGGGGGGGTTGATTGAAAACGACTGGGGTACGCCCTTAATTGGGTGCGTCAGACTTAAAGATGAGGATTGTGGAGTGTAAGGAGACGACAGATAGAAAGGAATGAGCACCACACTGGATAAAAAAAATGTGTCAAGTACAGAACTAACGTGACAGGGTGCGCAAGTATCCTCTCAATGGCCTGTCAGATTTTAAAAAAAGGGGGTGGGGGGGGGGGAATGCCCTGCAGAAGGTGCGCCACATTTGAAAATGAGGAGCGCAAGGATGCAACACATACAAATGGACCGGCCTCCAGACTGGAAGAAAAGAAAGAAATTTGGTGGAGACACACAGAAAGCGGGATTCACAAAATATGGTGTTGTGTCAGAGTAGAAATGGGCACGATAAAGAGGCCAACGATGCAGCTGGAGTGAACTCCAGAATGGAAGGAAAAATAAGGATGACATATGAACAGAGGGTGTGCATGTAACCTCCAGGTGATGCAAAAGATTCATACATAGCCACGCAGACCTCTACCAAGTAAAAAGAATCTCTATAAAGATAAATTTGGGTGGGAAAAAGAGTGAGGAAATGTTCATATTCAATATATCTTTTCACAAAGACGAATGACCAAAACACTGAATAGTTCGGGGGGTACACATCTAATTTCAACTCTAGCCTGTATTACAAAAACTTCCCATTTGGAAGTCGGACCACTTTTGAAGAATTGGTTGAAAACCAACAAATTAGACACGATTCACACATGCACCAACAAATAAAAGGTGTCATAAAATGGGTGTACACACCTAATTTCAATTCTCGCCGGTACATCACACACTGAAAGGGTGCACCATTTCTTGCTCAATAAACCAAATGAAAAAAAAACTTTTTCGTGGTTATTTCCATTTAAAACAACCTCTAACTTATGAGCTTCTCGTCCACCACCACCACGGATGCACCCTTCGCACCTCTGCTGGGCTTCGAAGTCACCTGACGCAGCCCCGACACCCCGTTTCTCAGCCTACCTTCCTCGTAAAAGACATCCTCGGCCTCCTCGCGCATCATCATCATCTCATCTAGGTCATCCCGCATGATAGCCATTAAACTTCTTCTTCTTGTGGTCCGTTAAGTCTAGGGGACGGGGCAAAGTGAGTGCGTGTCCGCCGACTGCCATGCAGTGCGCAAGCAAGCGACCCTTTGCTAAGTTTCACCAACTGGGCGGACCGTTTCGTAACATCCTGTGGAAAGCTGAAGTGAGTGAGGGTGGGTGTGTGTGTGTGTGTGTGTGTGCATGTGCGTGTGCATGTGTGTGTCGCCTGGAGAGTACTCGTGTGGGTCAGTGTGCATGTGTGTTCGTGTGAGTCAATTAAGTGGAGGGGCAACTGTTGATTAGCAGGAATAATTAGCTCTCGTGTTTTAAAACAAGCACAGATGCTGTCAAAATGTGTGTGTGTCATTCCTTCAAGATTCACAGGGATTTTTTTTTTCTTCCGCACTATAGTCGGCCTAAATGGAAAGGCCTCAGCGCTGTGGCTATTAATATCTCACATGGTCGCCATGGCACCCAACTCGAAATACACTTAGCGAACACTTCATTAGGTACACCTGCACAAGCTCCAACTCAAAAGGGAAGAAGTTGGTGATGCTCATTTTTGAGATCGGTCAATTTATTTTGGGTTTTTTAATATTTTTTTGAGAAATAGTTTTTGTTGGCTGAGTTATTTTGGTTTGAACAAATTTAGTTTTCGTCGTGGCCAAAAATATTTTGTTGGGGATATGTGATTTAGAGATGAAAGGGTTTGCTTTTATGTTCCAAAACGAATAGTATTTTATCGTGCTAATTTTTTATACAATTAATTATTTTGAAAATAGAGCATTTTTCGTGGTTGCCAAAAGATTTTTTCCAATAGATGACTTTTGGCGGGGTAATTATTGTTCCTGTTTGGACTTTTTTTTTTTTTTGCATGCCATTTAATTTACATTTTTAATCAAATTTATACAAATTATCATTTTGGAATTGATAAATTCATTTGAAATATTTTTGTTTGCGATCACTATATTGTTTCTTTTTTGTATTAAAATCTTTTGAAACAAATTGCATTTCTGAATGACAATATTTATTTTCTTAATCATTAATTTTCTGAAAAGCTTTAAAGCTTTTTTTGGGGGTGGGGGGCTAAACCTTTTTTCCTCTCCAACAAGGTCCAGCCTTAGATTCTGACTAATCTTGTGCGTTTTTTTTTTTTTAACCTTTGACTCGTGCTATCTTGCATCTTTGTGTGGTTTCCTGAGTCATTTCCTATTTTCCAAAGTGGAAATAGAATGTTGAGCTGGCGTAGATTCATTAGCACTTTTCCTTCAGACATCTCTTGGGGGGAAACCGGAGGGCAAACTCATTTTCGCCTCCTCTCACAAGTGTGGACAAAAGTATTCAGATGCCCAAGTTCAATAAAAACCTTCCTTCAAATAAATCTCACTTTTAACTGCACGAGTGAAACAAATTTATCAAGCCATTGCTCGGGAGGGTTGCGGTAAAGGGGGGGGGGGTTATTGCACCAGCTTGAGCAATGCGAGCAACTTTCCCAGCCCAAAAGGGAAATTGCAACAAAAGTGATGAAATTCTTTGATGTCAAACCAAATGCATTCAAGATGTGACAACGGTGGACAAATTCTCTTTGCTCAAAGCAAAGAAGAGGGTCTGCATGTTAATCAAGGGGTGCGAAATGGGAGCATCCCACTGAGCACCAACAAGGCAAAGGCAAGCGTATGCTGGATGGACATCAATGTACAAAACAACAAAATGAGTGGGAAACTAATGTTTGGAATTTTTTTTTTTTTTTGCCAAACACTGTTTTACTCCATCGCAATTTATTCATTTATTCATAAAGCTTTTTCTGTAACATTTCTTAGGGTATTTCCTGTGCAGTCAGGCCAACTTAATGCTCATTCTCAGCTTGTTTGTTTGTTAGTGCGATGAGCCAATGGCATCCCATTGCTAAGGTTGCCTGGTTACCGTAGCAACAATAATGAGGACATTGAATGCTGAAACGCATTTGTCACGCCACTCCGTTGTGCATTTGGGGTGCACGTGGGTGAATGGAGGACAACCATCTTGTACAATGGATATATAAAAAAAGTCTACACACCCTTATTCAAATGCCAGGTTTTTGCGATTAAAAAAAAAAAAAAATGGGACCAAGACAAAACAAAAATAGAGAGGGGAAATTCAAATAAACTGATACTATATAATGTGGTTGCACACCACTTCTCAAAGATCGTCTGATTAATCCAAATAAACTTCAGCTGTTCCAGTATTCGTACATCACAAGCATTAGATTACTAATAGAAACTAAATGCGTACAGACATGGTTTAACGTCTTAACTTGACGCTGCATTATGAAGAACGCCGACAACTGTTCCTCTACGGACAGATTTTTTTTCATTGAGAGCTCTTTTCCCCGGTTGCTATTGTCTACCCCCCCCACAATTGTCTTTTTGTCTCCGAACAGGGCACAGCGGGCATGAGATGATAGCGACTGGCACCATACACAAGGACGGCCATTTGATTGATTTGTTGAATCTTTGTCTTCAGCACGAAATTTGGATGCAAAACAGCAGCCTACCACGTCATCAGCAAGGACATTGTTGAAAGCAGCGTTCCACCTGGCTCTTTTCTAAGTCCCTTGTCTTATTTTAGTTCTGTCAGATAGAAACATTTTGGTTATTTCTTTTGGCTTCCATACAAAAACGTTTGCAGAACAAAAATGGGCTGATTTATTTATTTTTTTTGGGGGGGTGGATTAAATTACATTTTTTAGCGCAAAATATTTTTGGAAGAGCGGGGGAGTTGCAGGACAAAAATGTGTCATTTTATTGTGTCCCAACTGTTTTTATTTAGATCAGGGCAAAGTAATTGTTATTAAAAAAATATGACGTTATCTTTTTTTTGCCCACAAAATAAATGCAGATCGGGAAAAATGTAGGTCGTTTTTGGATGGAGTAACATCCTGCTATGCTGGAGAGGACAGATGTGAGGTCAGGGCAGATGGCGCAACCCCCCCCCCCCTTCCCCCCAACACACACATGGTACATACAGCATGTAGACGCAGGCAAATTTATAGATGTCATGATGCGTGATGAAGAAGCGTTGTGCTCATCGGTGCAGAAAGTCACTCAAGTCGCCAGTTGTACACTCGGACGCACTCGCTCGATTCCAGCCCTTCACTTCCTCTTTTGCTCTGTACACTTGTAAAACTTGTGCACTATTTGTGTTGGCCAAGCTTCCTTCCATGCTGGCCAAGGGCTTTCGAAAAACTCAAGTTCCCCTTTCGGCAGGTGATAGGATGCGTTTGGGTGGGGTGGGACAGGAAGTTCTTTGTTTCCTGGCCCCACCCTGCTGCCAGCGATGATTACATCACCACTAGGATCTCATTTAGTGGCTCTCATTTACGAAACCCTCGAAGACAGTCTCTTTAGTTTCGGTTTGAGACCTAAACCCAACGCTATAAACTGTACAGAGATGCTACCAATTCATGTATGAAGCCATTTCATATTAAATTGGGTGTGATTCATGTCAGCCAAGACGAAGTGAGCTCTTCTTTCACATTATTGTGATGTTCCTTTCTGGGTCATCTGCACTTGTCATCAGCAGAAGCCAGCATTTTTCTTTCCATTCACACTGAATGACATACTCAGACACACACAGAGACCCCGTAAAGAGACTTCCAGACCACTGGTGTGGTCACACAAAGGCAAAAGCCAACAACGGTGCCAAGGGAACAAACATCGGTTAAAAAACAAACAAACGAAAAAACAAAACAGTCTTTGCTAGTTTTAAACGCCTCAATGATACAATGCTAGCATTAGCTATTGACAAGTCCGTTAGCATTTTTTTTTTAATCCAGCCCCGAGGCGCTCTTCAAAACACTAGAATGACTTTTCCAGTTGCGCTGAAGAGAGATAAGAAAAGAGCAAATGCTTGCGGGAAAACGAGCTAATCTGCTTAGCCATTGGGCTGATTCAATTTCATTCATCTTAGCATGATAAGATGGCAGACGTTGCGGCCGTGACCAAACGCAGATGGGGTTTTAACCAATTAGCAACTGATATTGAGGATATTTTATGGTGCTTTGGTTGGACGATGACAACTCTTAAAGGGAATCTATTACGGGAAATTGACTTGCAAATATCTTAGATTTTAAGAGTTATGCTCTGGAGTGTTTGCCCGCCAATCAAATGGGGAACAAAACAACTAAGTACATCTTTTGGGGGTGGTCTTGTTCACAAAAGGAACAGTCAACGTGCACGGTTCGCAGCTGGGGTGGCTGAAGAGCTAGAGTCACTTTCAAACAATCTTGTCAAAACCCAAAAAGTAAGGGAGAGTTTGCACTGAACGTTGTTGGATATGCAGATTAACGATGGCTAAAACATTAGCTTCTGATAAGCCGCAGATACATGGTGAGTTTGTCAATGCAGCGATGGGGTATTTGTGTTTGGATATGCGTCATGCATCCACGCACAGAGTTGTATTTTGGTGGAGGTAAAGATTGGTGTTAAAGTCAAATAAGTGGCAATTGATGGCGGAGTGAGGTTTTCTACTAAAAGAAAAATACATTTGTTGTTGGTAATTCAGGCTCATTGACAAGTCAAGGTCAGCCTTTACCAAGGAAATTCTCATAAAACTGAAAAAATAAAAATATAACTTTATACACATTGTTAGGACCTCCCATTATCCACAAAAACGAAAGCTCTCCGAATTGTTTTGTTCCCAACAGCAGCATGCACGCACCCACGCAAGCAGCCTTTCATTCCGGAACGCTTCCAGCTGAGCTAGAAAATTAAGCGTCAAGGCAATGTGCAATTTCCCCGTTGCTATGGAGTGAGAAGATGTCACGTGCTAGTCAAGGTTCTTGTGGCCACACTAGGAGAGGAGAGTTGACGGACCGGTCAAAGAAAGGCAACTGGTGTCACAATAACAACACTAATTATTATTTTTATCTGAAAAGTAACTCTGTTAAAGGCAGCGTTGTCCATTCATGGAAGGAGGGAGGGCCTTTCATATATCATCAAGTTTAGGATGACCTCTTCTGGTGAGTAGTAGGATAACTATGATCAGGGGGGGGTCCCCTAAAACGTAAAATATTATTTATTTTGATAGAAGTGTGGCACCAAGGAGTGATACTTGGAAATAGCATTGTTTTTCAGTGGTTAAAAAAAGATTCTCGAAGCCTTACAAATAAATTGCGAAACTCATATTTATGAGTTGCATTTATATATATATATATATATTTTTTTTTTTTTTTTCAAATATACAAAATGCAATAAAATGAAAATAAAAACCAGGAGCTAAATTGCACTTAACGGCCAATCGCTTGTGAAAATTACTATTCAATATATATGTTTAAAAAAAAAAAAGTGGCAAATTGTCGGCGCAAGACAGAAGAATGAGATGTTGCAAATATTTTTTTTCAACTCAGATTTGACAGCCAGTGGAGAGGGGCTTCGCACGAGAGTGAGGGCTTTCGTGCCTCGTTCTCACCCGTGTGCGCGCACACGTCACCCAGACAAAGACGGATAATAGAGAGGGAATTTTTTTCTTTTTTACCTCATGATTTATTTTCACTTTAAGAACCTTAAGCTTCAAAACCGGGCGAAAGGCTAAACTAACACTGAATTTGTACATAAGAGACAAACCCCACTTAAGAGCAAACGGCGGCAGGCACACTTACGGTTGAACTCTCGATGGTGCACGTGAGGCCTCCGAGGACGCTTCCGGAACCAGTTGAGACGTCCGGGCATCTCCATCGTTGCCTGACGCCTTCTCTCCCGCAAAAAACGTCAGCCGCAACTACTTCGCATATCCATCCTGCACGAGGATGATGGTAAAATGGAGTACCCTTCACTTGAGGCGTCACGATGCCCTTCTGCAGATAGACATCGCACATCGCTCATATTTTATTTATGTGTGACTCAGCGCAACCGAACTCTTGTGTGTGCTACTTGCCTGTTCGGAGAGGAGAACCAATCAGAAGACAGCTTGTGGCGGCTGTAATATGATGACACCCCCCCTCCCCCACCTCACTAAAGTCCATCAAATATTTGATGAAAAAACTAACATTAAAAAAAAAAAATGGAATAAAAATGTGAGATATTTAACATTTTAAGAGTAGCAACAATAACGCTGATGGTATTCATGTCCCAGAATAAATGTAAAACTAAACCTAAAATGTACTAAAATTGTAGAAGCACAACAAGACAGAAGCACATCGTCTCCACTGAAAAAAAAAGAACAACTTTATTCAGATTTAATTATAAAAAAAAAAAAAACAATACTCACAATTGGTTTGTTCGAAATGTACAATAAATAAAAATATTTGGCACAAACAACCCCAATTGTACAAACACACATTTGGCAGTGACATGAAAATATAAAAGACTACAACACGCAACTTTATATCACAACTTTTCTTAGATTGGAAATTCAGCTCTTGGAAGTGAATGGAAATATATATTAGATATATATATATATTCTCTATATTTCTATATAAATGTTACCTAATACAGTTATTCTTGCTAAGAACTACAACTTTTTTTTTTATTTATTTTTTATCATCTTGATTTTATTTCGAGTGCTTCTGCTGGCTAGTGGCAATACCTAGATGCCCAATCATAAATAGGCTTGCAAAAGGGGTGAAAAATGTCCAATAAATTTAAAGAAATGCGCCATGAAATTTCCATGGGAAGTTAATGTTCAATTTTGAAAATACGTTTCCATGTGAATTAGTTTTTATCATTGTGGTAATATTGTATTTGACGCTCTCTATTACTAGCCAACCTTCAATTTGGTAAATTCTTGGTTTTACTCCCATAATTCCCATACAAAGTTGCCAACGTCTAAATTTAACGGAATTTTGCACCCCTAACTGTCACATCTAATCTGGAAATCTGCTCTAATAAACATGATGGCGAGCACAAATATTGGCAGGAAAATGAGGCAAAAGGCACATGTGATTCACGAACAGGGTAGTTCTACATTAAAAGCCGATCCGTTCAAGTAACCCCCCCCCACCCAACCACAAACCCCTATGTCAAGCAGAGCATGTGCAACATGAATGTGAGGGGGTAAAAACAGAAAAAAAACAAAAACAGAAAGTTCCAAAGGCACCGTGAAATGAAATGCTAGCCTGATCCTGAGGTTTGATCCTGACGACGAGAGGCACTGTTGAAAATGACACAATAACAACTCCGACACAATAACAACGCCATAAAGATCAAAGAAAATAGTTCCAATGTCAGGAGGAAAAGAGTTGTGATTCATTTTAACAAATGTTTGAGAGGAAAAAGTAATTGTTTGAACAGGAAGGCATATTTTTATTGCGGGGGTCAGATTTATCAAATGTAAAAAAAAAAAAAAAAGAATATTTTGGTGGTGGTGGATTGTTGGATTTTTTGCATTATAAAAGTAATCATACTAGAATTGTAGCAGCGCTACAAGAGAAACAATTCAAAATATTGCAAGGACCCCCGCCCCAAGAATAAAGTGGTATTTTTGTAAGGGGAAAAATAGTAATCATTTTTTGAAAAATATATACTTTTGGGGGGGGGGGGCATTTTTACTAGAAAAAAAGATGAGGCAACAAGGAAAAAAATATTAAATGTGTTTTTTTTTAAATATTTGAAAAAATATCCAGATTGTGAAAGCCTTGTTTTTATAAGTTTAATTTTTTTTTTAACCCAAATTGTCATTTTCCAAGAAAAAAGTGGTACTTTTGGCACAAGTGGCAATATTAAAAGCACTTAACTATTTCCCAACTTTATCTTTTTAACATGGAAAAAACTAAACTGCTGCTCTCTCTCCCCCCCTTCAAGTCAAGTCAGTGCAATCATCAAAGGAAAGCTGATGGAAAATCTTTTTCAACCACTAAGAGGCATAACAAACCAAACCTGATCACAGTGATTGCTCCAGTGCTGTGCCTCCCTTTAACAACAAAAACAAAACTGCGGTGTGAAACGGTCAAATAATCCCAACTCCAGTGAAAATAAATATCCACAACGCGTTCTTAAAATAGAACAACGTAAAATGTGCAACTTGACAGCATATAACTTTTTCTTAAAATGTTGGGCGGGCTGTGGCAACGTGGCGATGTGCAGAGTGTGCAGGTACCGCTTTTTTCTTCATCCTCCCCCTCTTCAAAATAATAAAGGAAAAAAAAAAGAGGATTGTCTTGAGCAGAGGGTCGCTTGTCCCTTCTGTCTTTCTTTCACTCCATCTTGTCGGTGTCGATGTTGTCCAAATCGATGTCGGGCGACGCCACGCAGCAGTAGCACAATTTTTGGGTGCAAGACGAAAGCGTGTCTGCCAGAAAAAAAAGAAACCATACAAAGATCTGTTACGCTTTGCCAGTTGTGGGGGAGTAACAAAGTGCAACTATTTGGTTACTCTACTTAGGTAGTATTTGTAAGTGCAGTTCTGTATTTAAAACATTTACATACCGTAGAAAAGTTGGTACATTTGCATTTCTTCACTATTTATTTTTTTTTGCTGTACGCTAAAATCTCGGCTATTTGCTTTTTTTGTGCATAGGGAAAAGCAATGAAAGTACTATTTGGGCACCGCCGTGTGGTTTTTATTCAGTTTTTAATTGATTCGTCATGTTTTCTGTTTGCATTTGAGATGTTTCAGATGATGCCTCATGAACAGTCCAACGTGAAACTAAGTATGTTTGTGCTTCTCTCACAAAGCCACAACACAATTGTAGTTTGGCATTTAGACACAATAGCGAATACTTGGGAATACAGGCAAAGTTCAATTTAATGGCTCAATAGCGTTTGTACATGGCGCTCGTGTGCATACTTGTTTGGCCGTATGTGATCAATTTGAGACAGCATCTTACTTTGTATTGCCGAGCCTCATGTAAACGTTTACTGGAAAATGACACGACTGAGGACAGTCATTTATGTAACATCGGTTCAGGAGTGTCGACATGCTATAAGTATGGCTGATGTTTCACGATCCTCTTCTTTTGAAGTGAATTGCCACTGTCTTGAGGCATCTAGACGCAATCGCAAACCCCTTGTCGGGGAGAGAGTCAAATAGTTGTGGAATTCGGTGCTTCTCACTTTCGACACCCGTATTAGCTAGCCGATGCGATCAATGCAAAGTTAGATATAAAGATATAAAGATATAAACAGACAGAAAGTCCTGCTTTTCATGGGTTCCGTTTTAAGGGTAGAGATGGACGTAGACAAAAAAAGACTCTCACGGAGGATTTTGTTGAGGAAAGCGGGCCTGGAGTTGCGCGGCAGGCGGAAGCAGAGGAAGTAGACGGGCACGCCGGACAGCGCCACGCAGATGCCCACCAGTGAGTTGATGGTATCGCTGTAGAGCGGCACCACCACCAGGAAGAGGCTGCACAGGCAGTACACGATGGGGAAGAACAAGGACAGCTGTGGGAGGGACACCCCGCAGAGGGGAGGAAGTTAGTCTTCAATGTTTTTTTTTCCTTTTTAAAATTTAGGCAGACAAACGGAGCGCTGACCTTGACGGGTCGGTGCAACTTGGGGGCCTTGAAGCGAAGATAGATGAGGCTGACGATGGACAGGCCGATGAAGAGCCAGTAGTTGAAGCTGAAATAGTTGATCAGGCGAAAGACGTCGGGCACGGACAGATACAACAGAGACATGATGCCCTGAGGTAAAAAGTAAAAAAAAACAAACAAAAAAAAAAACAAAAGACAAACACCGCTGATTACAAGGCATTTAAAAACGTGAGAAAATCAAGCAAAAGAAATGTGCTTGATTCAGAAGTTGTAATGTGCATGCTGTTCCACTCCAGTCCTGTAGGAGGCAGGAAATTTAGATTCATTTTCACCACAGGCCCATAATACCACTTCATTCACATTATTACATAATTGCATGCATGTTAAATGATGCTTTTAGCTTGTCCAACTTTTTTCAAAATACCATCACATATTTCTGTTAAGTCTACAACCGTTTACCATTTAGATGACAGCCTCTTAATATTATGACTTTGCTCTTACATAAAAGGCCTGACGCTGACCGCATTTGACAGAGGTAAGTAAAGTTGATACTAACATTAAAAATCAAGGCAGGGATGGGGGTGAAGCGCTTGACGTGGATCATGGACAGGATGTTGGGGAGGTGGCCTTCACGGGAACCCACGAAAAATAACCTGCGGGCGGGGGAATTCATTGAGCACGCAAGTCAAGATGCAACACCAAACATTTATGTGACACTTGAGGCTTCAAGGCCTCTACATATCTACAGTATGATTTTTTTTCCTAAAATTTAGGGCAGGAAATTTACGTTCACACAGAATAGTTAATGGATTGTGAAAAGACAATTTTGTAAATCTCTGCTTAAAATGTGTCTAAAATTTGAAATAGGTAATATACGTCATGCTCTATGATTTTAACAAAAATGAATTTGAAAACACAATCTGTATTGTTTGGGTTTGATCATCTCTGGTAGCGGTCAGAAATGTTAAGCGCATCTTTGCCTTTATGATAGTAGCACGTCGACAGAATATTGATATCAACGTTAGACTTAATGGGAAAGGTTATTTTGCTACATTTGGAATTCCCTTGTGAGTTCAATTCATTCAAAACGCTTATCTCAAATCCTCTTTCACTATTTAGTTAAATTAATATACGAAGTCAACAGGTTTGGTGCCACTGCTCCTGGTATGCACACCTTGGCCATCTGGGGGCAGTATAGGGCAGGCCTACAGCTAATAATATGCAGTGTATTTATTTTATTTTTTTTGCCCAGATAAAGAACATATGCCAAGGAATATCGTTATATTGTCTACCCACGTGATGCTGCACCTCACAGTTATGGTCAAAAGTTAAATGAGGGGGGGAGATGGGAATTTCTCCATTGTGAGACAAATAAAGGATTTCTTATCTTAAAAAAAGGAACATTCAATAACTGCATCATTATGGCATTAGTTGGACTTTTCTGTCAGTGACTTAATGGTTTGGTAAAAGTGTGACCTGGAGGCAGCAATGATGGAAGAGTTGAGACCGCCATAGCAGGAAATGGCCACAGACAACGGGATCAGCCAGCGGCCCCAGCCCAGAACCTCATCCGCAAAAGTCTGAGGAGAGCGTCAGCGTCGTTCGGATTAACGTTCAAACATCGGACAATCAAAATAAAGGCAACAGCCATGTGGAAACAATTACAGAGCACTCATCCGCTAAAGTCATTAAGTCAACAGACAGACTTTCCGCTCGCAATCAGTGAAGATGCTCTGGCAGACTGACTGACTGCAAGTCAAGATGACCGGCCGCAACATTAGGTACACCTCCGCAATCTGGTGACATCCAGTAAAACGCCAAGATTAAATTGCTCAGTTTTGACCATTGACACTCCCGAGATATTGCGGAAAAAGCGCTTCCTTGGCAGCTGCATAAGGTGCAGGTCCAGGTAGAGGTGACGGAAGGCTCATCCAGATTTCCAGGAACTCATAGCTCCACAAACTACATGTAGACAATTGTTTCTTTCGACAAAACACAAACAACTACTTCCTGGACCCAGCCCCACCAAACTCAAATCAGACAATCGTTCCAATGGTCAAACAAGTTCCCAGTTGCGCGGTAGTGTAGGAAGTACTCACCACGGCGACAGCTTCGCTATTGAGGACCTGTTCGGCATCCATGACCACATAGTAGGCCACGTTGGTCAAGATGTAAATGACGGTGACGATGGGCATGGAAATGGCGATGCTCAGCGGGAGATTTCTGCAACATCAAAATGAAGTGCTCCTTATCTTTTGGAAGAAACGGCAAACATGACAATGCTATGCAAGCAGGAGACTGGATTGTCTTTGTTTCCCCGCCCCCTTACCTCTCTGGGTTCTTAATCTCCTCGGTAATGAAATTGAGCGTGTCCCAGCCGGAGTAGGAGTAGAGCGCCGAGTAGAGGGCCAGTGCCATGTCGCCGGCATTCATCTTGGAGCCTCGGAACGAGTCCTCAAAGTTTTGACTGAAACCTGTTCTCAAACCAAGCAGGGGGGGAAAGATGACTTGGCGCCATGTTCTCACCAATTCAGCTCAGGAACTATGGAACTAGGTTGGTGTGAATTCCGAAGCGGTATGTTGTGCTATTGTATGTCAGCATAGTGTGGTATCAACTAAGCAACTCGGGCCGGGCAATTAATTTGAGTAGACTGGACACTATTTTCCGATATTTGTTGAATCGGGATCTGTTAAGGCTGGTGTCAAACTCAAGGCCTGGGGGCCAGATCTGGCCCGCCACATCATTTTATGTGGCCCGCCAAAGCAAATCAAACATGTCAACTCCCATGATGCTTGCTAAAATCTCAACCAAAATTTAAAATTCTCATATGTAATAAAGAGACATATTGTAAGCATTTTCTTGGAACCAAACCCTTCTTTACAGGAATTTAAACAATAGTTGAATAAACCGTAAGTATTGGCTTTTTTAATTTGGTTTCAGTCATAACAGCCCTCCAAAGGAAATGGTAACAAAAATGTGGCCCGCGACAAAAATGAGTTTGAAACCCCTGCGTTAAGGGGAGGTATCAACTACACTTTCTCAACATTCCTTAGATGGAATCTTTTTTTTTTTTTTGGTCCACTATTGCTGTTGAGATGATCCAATGTTCCTTTGTGGGAGTAATAAAGGTAAGCCAATCGAATCAAATTTTCCTACATCCTGTTTGTCTTTTCTGTGTTTTAATGATTTACGTAACATCAGAGGTTATGCTCATTTAAGCCGCCAAAGGCTGTTTTATTGCTTTTAACAACCTCGACTTGGATGATAACTGATCGACTGTCGTGGACGTTTCTATTCGTCAACAACAATCCAAGAGTTTACTGCCATCAACGTACATAGAAGTCCAAATTCGGGTTTGTAAACCACTGGAAAGACTGAAGTGATGCCTGTAAATGGCGGTGCCGCATCACTTTAGGATTTGAGATTAGAACAGCTTTTGAGCGGAAGACAAAATTTCAACTGTGAATCTTGGCTCGTCAAATCGATTATGAGAGAGAGAAATGCTAAACTGTTGGAAACGGGCCCGTTTCGATGACAAACGCATTCAACTCGAGGCAGGCAGTGAGTTTGCGATGCTCATGAGCTGCAATAAATTGTTGATTGGCCATGCGGTGTCATAAAATATTTGTGGCAAAGTTACTTGTCCACTTGAGATGTTTCTTTTGTTTTCAGAAAAAAATAATTTTCTCCTTTTTGGTCAGAGTCTGTGTTTTTGGTGAAACCAACCCATTTTTTTAATTGCTTATTACTAAAATAAAAATGAAAAAAATGTGAAAAACATCCATTGATTATCCGAGCAAAACATCCTCACGAGGGTCACGGGCATGCTCAGGTTCATCCCAGACATCTGCTCTCTCTTTTTGTGCTTACGTTGTCCCAGAACACAACACCGCGTGAGTCAAAAACAATCATTCGAAATGCTGTATAGTCATCTGGCAGGTTAACTAGTTAACCATTTCACTTGAAGCAATTTAACAATACGTACCTTGACCCAGCTTGACAAGGCCGGTGATGATAATGACGATCAGGGCCAGCACTTTTGCCACGGTGGATATGACCTGAAGAATAGCGCCCCACTTCACCTTCAAACAATTCACGTATGTCAGCAGGCCTGAGAAACAGTAACATGTCATGTGGGGGGGAAAGTGAGGGGGGGGAAAGATAAGAGCTGCAGCATTGTTGGATAAACAGGCAAAAATCGACATTACAAACATTTTTTAGAATACTTAAACCAATTTTGCATGAATTTGCAGGAATTTTTAGAAACATTTTGAATACATTTAAAGAACCCGTATAAAAATGTAGATTTTTTTTTTAATGAAAACAAACTATAGAAATTAGTGTAAATATGAAACAATATAAATGAAAAGTTAGTATACACTGTTATGACAGTATTTGAATATGTTTGTGAATTTGTTTCAGAAACATTTTGGGGGGGGGGATATTTTGTACTTCACGAAGAATTCTGTAAACATTCTGTGGAAATTGAAATGACTGAGAATTGGGTTTAGACCATTTGGTATCAATTTGAATGAATTTGGATGAAAACTGTCGAAAGAAAATTTGCACACGGTTGAATAATTTGAATGAAAATGAGAACTGAACAATCTGTTAGTTTTTTTTTTAGGGTTACCTCATTTTTTTTTTTTTAAGTTTTTTGTAGTTTGACTCAAATGGAAAATTTCATTTGCATGAGACAGTCTGTGCGTGTATGCATAACTTTATTTTTTACAAGTTTTTCGCTGAGGCTATTTTGCTTAAGGACAGATACATTTTGACACCTCTTTTTTAAATTTGCAACATAATAATACATCTTTCTTTTTTCTTTTTTTTAATCCTTTCAATACGAAGTCATGCAAAATCCAGTTTGCCAACTGGCTGACTGCCCAAGAGTTCAACCTGAAAGACAACACGCGCTGGGAGGAACTTCGTGCAAATGAGCCAACATATTTATCTGATGAGGTTTACAAAAATCATACAACTGTGCCAATCAAAAAGTCCCAGATATCTAAAACCTGTTTACGTTTACGACACATCAACTATGCCAAATGGGGCTGTGCCTGCTTGATTTTGCAACGTCACTGCATTTTACTCACGCCTGACCCGCCCGATTGGAGGCGTTATCAGCTCTGAGCAAACACTGCTCAAGTCTTAATGCACTCCAACACAGACGAGATGAATGGAGGAAATTGTGACTTGTCACTTGACAAGGTAGTTGCACACGCAACTCAAATGGCTGCAGTGCTATGCTAACCAATGAGCAGGAAACTGAACATCTCATCTTCTTGCAGCTTTTTTTCCTCTCAGTATTGCAATTATGATTTAATATACTTCCCCCACCCCCAGGCTGTGATTGGTCTTGACCTGAGCGACTGTGATGTCATTTTTCAGTCGACAGCCGGTGACAAAATGGCCGCTCATACTATTGTCAAGAAAATGTTTGAGTTGACTTCCCCTTTATAATTAAATCATTTTTCATAAAGATTGCAAAAACATTTTCAAGATCTTTCCATGGACATTTTTGGAGCATTTTGAAAAACTGGTGAACATTTGGCAGAAATAGGCATTTTTAGAGAATTCTGGAGAAATTAACAAATGTGGAGGTAAAAATGTCTTAAATTTAGAATCTGTCTTAAAATTTCATATTTTCCATGACGCTTAATAGAAATGTGATTTCTTTTAATCTGATAATTTTGTAGAAATTAGAATTTGTTGAAATTCTGGAAAAACTTCAAAGATCATTTTAAAAAGTGATTAAAATATTTTCCAGAATTTTGTCGTCATTTTTGTAGAAATGTGAAAATTTGGAGGGCGGGGGTGAAAAAAAAAAAGAGAATTTTGGCAACAATTTTAGCGGGAATGAAGCATTTTATCTGAAATGTCATGAAATCTCATCTGAATTTGAAAAGACTGATGCATGTCAGTCCTTCAAGGCATGAAGGAAGACTGCAAAAGTTTGGAACCCAACAGTTTGACTCTGCAAAACTCACAAATGATGACAGCAGCGACGAGGCGGACTGCGTAATAGGGGGCGGGGCATGTCATGAAGAATGGCTCGACCAGGTAGCTGGAGAAGGTCAAGGCGATCACTGCCTGGCAGGCTGGCTCCACAATCAATAACGATGTCCATAGCCTTTCGACAAGAAGAAGAAAAACCAGACGCCACAAGTGAGTCATGACAGGTATACGTTGCCCAGGCGGTTGAACAAGTTGGCGCTACATACCGAATGAATGCCAAGAAGCTCCCGAACGCCTCCAGGATGTATGCGTAGGAGGCTCCCGATTTACGGATGGTGGTGCCCAGCTCGGCGTAACACAATGCGCCGAAAACGGAGAAAACCCCTCCGACCGCCCAGATGACCAGCGACAAGCCGAAGGAGCCGGTGTACAGGAGCACCCCCTGCGTTAGGTAACACACAATAGATATTTCGACAAATTGGAAAGGCAAAGTCATGTCAAAATCTTTCTTGACAATATGTTCTTTGCAGCCGCATTCATCTCCACGCGGCATTTCGATGAATATCGCATCTGCGGAATATGAATGAAGCAGCGAGATTTCTTAATTCATCTCAGGGGGCGGCCATTTTGCCACTTACTTTGGATGGAAAATGACATCACAGTGGCTCAGGTATTAATCAAGCGCCACCAGCGTTTTTGACTTGACTTCCCCTCTAAGAACTTTGTAAGAAATAAGCATAGATCATTGTATTCTGTGAACATGTTGTGGAAGGTGAAAGGATGGTCTGAACAATTAGATTTTTCTTTTAAGTTCGAATCCTCCACCCAACACGTCTTTTCTTGACGTTTGTGAAATAAGTTTTTGAACAACATGAAGAACATTCATGGTAGCTGCAGTATTACAGTCACCCAAAAACAAAAACATAACCCTCTATTTTTGCAATTTAGTATTTTTGTCAATATTTTATAGATGTGTGACTAACTTCGAGGCCGCAAAGATGGTTTCAAAGTGAAAGGTAACAGGATGCTTTTTTTTTTCAGTAATGTTAAGTTTATATTTTGTTGAAAAATTGCTAACTTTTTTGGAATCGTAAGATGTAATAAAAAAAAACAAAGGAACACAAATGTAAAGAATTGGTGAAAATTTCATTAGCTTAATGGATTTTTTTTTGTTAAAGAAAAGTAATGTGAGGATGAAAAAAAAAATGACATGTAATTTTGTTAAACATTCTGTAGAAACTTAAGAAATTGTTTTATTTTCATACTACTACTCTCCCCAAAATTTGGTGTTTTGTGAAAAATTTAAGTGTTGGATAAAAGTAAACACCGTAGGAATTGGGGAAAAAATGCGAAAAAGATTCAATCATGGGGAGAAGTTGTCCTTTCAAAAGCAAATTGATTTTAGTGGTCCCCATTTGTTCTTGATCCTGTTGTTTGAACAGTAAAGTTAATGTTTCACACTCGGAATGCAAACTTCTCATTGGAATAAAAATCTTGAAACGAACAAGTTGCAAGATCAGCTCAACAATCACGCTCATTCAACAGCTGCGCTTTGCCTTGCACGTCTGTAATGCGGGCGACGGTGGCGCAAGGCAAGTCTGATGCAATCATCAAGTTGCACGGCTCGTCTTACATTACCTTGGGTGACACGAAGATGCCGGAACCGATCATGTTGCCCACGATGAGGCAGACGCCGTGCAGCAGGGAGATCTCCTGTTTGAGTCGCACGCCGCCGCTGCCTCCGGACGAGAACTTGAAGAGGGAGTAGAATAGTAGGTGGGGACTAGAGAGAGGGGGTGTGTGTGAGAGTATGTGTGCGTGTGAGAAAGAGAAGGAGAGAGAAAAACCAAGTGAGAGAGGCAGAGGCAGGCAGAGAGAGAGAGAGAGAGAGAGAGAGGTGGCAGGAGAACTTGAAGAGGGAGTAGAATAGTAGGTGGGGACTAGAGAGGGTGTGTGCGTGTGCGTGTGTGTGTGTGAGAAAGAGAAGGAGAGAGAGAAACCAAGTCAGAGAGACAGAGGCAGAGCCAGAGCGAGAGAATGTCAAAAATAATGGCAGTTGACAGGAAATTCCCCTGAGTAGTGATATGATGTGCAAGTTGTGGATTAGCTTGTCATCTAATTTAACACACACACACACACACACACACACAAGAAGTGGACTTTCTTACAGTTTAGTTTCATCTGTTGAGAAAATGTGGTTCAAATTTGGTTTGAAATCGGCAACATATCAAGCCTGAGTTTGCTTTTGAAAGACACATGAAATTGAGAAATCTGGTTCTAAAATGGTCACCTGTAACTAAAACGGCAGACTTTACATGTGCTTTTTGGGCAAGGCTGCTTCAGACTTTTTTGTGGGTCGACTCGTCAAAGACAGATTTCCTGTTGCTAAGTGAAACTGGCTACGTTCTGGCAGCTGATTAAGTCTTTCACAGTTCGCCATATTGCCAGCCATTTTGGAGCATTTGGACGAATTTGCAGGACTCACAAAATACTGTTCTTCTGTAAAGAGCAGTAGAACATCGCTTGGTTGCACCAAAAACACCAGCTTCTGAACAATTGAGAAAATTTGCTTTTTGCAAAAAGAAAAAAAAATGTACAGTAACTTTGACACTAATATTTGGGGGCTTTTCTGAATGCCCAAACTATAAAACAAGAAAAACAAGAGTGAGAAAGGGCTTCTGAGGTCAAACTAATCATTTATTTAGATACACACAGAAAAAATGTGCCCCGAGTGAAATTAATTCACTGCATGGCTCGAGTTGAGCATCAATTTTTCTTGTCTTTTTATTTTTTTGTTTACATGGTGTTCACCATTCACTCATGACTGCAACACACTTTCTCCTATTTACTCTGTTTATACTACACATGTACATACTCCATTCCAGTGTCATGCACCAAACCAACATGTTGGCATTTCTCTTCCTCAAAATCAACTTGATAAGCCGAGCTTTGCGACCTAATCTTTATTTTCTATGCAAAAGTTGTGCTGATCTAAAAACCAAAGCAATCCATTGAGAAGGATCTATTTGCCATCACAGTGGTTTACCAAGCTGAATTTCACGGACAAGCGATGCAAGACTTTCTTCCAGGCTGAAAAACATGCTTGATGTATATATTCAAGGGCAGTGAACAGTTGGATTTCTTTTGACGAATAGAAATGTCCACAGCAGTCAATGAACCAAATTATTGACTTTTACTTCATTTGTTTTATTTAAATGTGCTATATTGTAGTTTAAAAAAAACTTTTCCTGTACATGAGATGAAGCTTTTAAGATAAATGAATCCACTTGAGATGATTTCTCATGGGATCCAAAGTCTTTTGTTTGACGCAGCTTTTGGCGAGCGTTCTTTGTTGACATGTTAGGGTTTGCAACAAGGCGAGAGGTCTATGAGGCATGAAGTGTAAATTTGTATACACTTGCACGCCAAGAGAACATCGGTGTGAGTGAGGGAAGGTTGCAGGTGTGCTGGTGGTCTCGGGAGTCAGGGGAGGAAAAAAAAAACCTCTTTCAGATGAGGGATCAGACGTTCACGTGTCATTTCCATACAGTCACATTCCTGAGGGAGTTCAAAGACGACTGGATTAAAACACAATGGTCGGCTCATGCGGTCTGCTCGAAAGGCTTAGCTGGGGAAAAAAAAGTGTCCTTTGCTTTCAATTTAGATACTAAAACAGGAAAGGGTGAGTATGTGCAGTTCATAACATGAGCAACATAATTAGATTAGACTATAAATCATTTTTACGAGCAGATTTTAAATAGCATGTAGCTAAAAAAAGATTGGAAAATAATAATAATGAATGTTTATTCACACGTGAGGCAGCCATTTACAATCGGGTGGGAATCTAGCTTTACTTAATTTCAGGCAAGTTTGGTGTGGCAATGCTTTTGTGTGTGGGCAAGGAGAGCTCTTGATGAAGCTCTGATTGAACCGGTCCAAAAGTCAGACATGCTAATACAAAATGAAATTGAATACACTCACAAGGAGCCGCTGTATGTAGGCCACCACAACTCACACCCCAACGCTTGCAAATAATATAATGACCAATCTGAAGTCTCCCACAAAGCTATGCCACGATACATGCAGTAATTTCACTTTATGAAACTTGATGTGTTTCCGTTTTATCATTTGTTGTTTTCCATTTAAAACACGCAACAACATGGTGGGGGGTTTATAACATCTGAAATGAATTAATCGCATCAGTTTAGCCACAGAGCAAACAAAACTTGTAACTCAGGGTACCATTTATTGTTTTAAAATTGGTACTTCTGTCATTTGTAAACCCTATTGTCAGAACTATCCTTTTGTACTAAATTTATCTCGTACAATAATGAAATCCGAACTCGATGACCCCACGTTGATGGTTTGCAGTGACGTCACGGGACAGCATTTTCTTCCACTGCTTATTTTTTTTATTTCAGCCGTCGTCGCACACATAGGAGGAAAAAAAAAGACTTCTGCAAAAAGTTGTCGACAAGCTGATACCAAGAAGAAAAGCGAGGGTCGTGCCGTGGCGAGTCACCACGTTGGCGACTTGAACACTCCAACTAGAAACGGAAACATGTGGCTCGTGCTAAGATTTAGCATGAAGTGACGCCAATGCTAATGCGCGAGGATGCTGCGGATGCTAGCCTGCGAAATACTCTCATCGCCGTCTCCCACTTGGCTTCTCTTTCTTTGAGACAAAATGGAGACGCGAGTGTCTAATAGCGGGGGGAGACAGATAGAGGGAGCGTTTTGAAGAACACACACGGAAAAAAAATTAACATACCGGCGTGTGGGCACCAGGAACCAAACGTGAGGAGAAGAGGAGAGACGTGTTTCTTCTTCTTCCAGACGGCGTGTGACTAGCATGCCAAAATCTCCTCCTCCTTTAGCTCCTCCTCCTTAATTCAAAAATCCACGAAGGATGTTTCCGTGGTCACGTTCAAACTTGCCGAGCGGACATACTCACAGCTGGCGTACACCAATCATGACATACTGTATTTTGCCCGTTTATTTGATTGAATTAGAACCGAGTCGTAGTAGCCTCAAGAAGGAAGTTGCGTGGAAGCGGAGGAAAATTAGTCGCCAAATCATTGCGTTGGCTTCAGGTAATCAGACTCCCTCCGCCAAAGGTGAAGTTAGTCCCTTCGCGTAGGTATAAAATACGTTGCTAAGACACCTATTTGTGATAACTCACAAAAGAAAACATTGTCCCCTCAATTTGCATTATAGTATCAGACGTCAGTATTTGGGTTTCAATAAAATAAGGTTGGTACCTGAATTGGACAAAATCAGGTCCAGTTTTAGCCATTTTAGAATTGGTTTTGTCCCGGTACAAAACGGCTCAAGAAATTGCCTCAGGACACCCAAATAACAAAACAGCGCTCCTACAAATAAACAAAAGTGGCCTAAATTTGGACTGCTGCATCAACAACACTTTTGGTTTTTTTTCTGTGGTTCTCAAAATGAGGATGCAGACCCATATTGGTTGGCAGGTCAGTTTTCAGTGAGTTTTTCCAGGGACAAAGCTGCCCGGAAAATTCCTGAAGACCCCCCAAATATGGCAAGAAGATGTTGAGGCCTTAATTGGGACAATTGCATCAGTTACACTCCTGCTTAATTGAGGGTTTCTGAAAAGTTGTGTCAGGAGCCACATGGGCGCTCAATCGGGTCTATCTTCAGTCATTTTAGAAATTTTTCCAGACACAAGCGCGCCAGGAAATTGAAGACATCCAAATATGAAAACAACACACAAGCAAGCACTGTGGCCTTAATTTGGAGTATTTTACCATTTCCATTGATGTTTCATTAAAGGACTTGATCACACTCTGAACCATATTTGATTGGATAGTTCAACCAACATGGGCCAGTAGAACAACTTACACTCAAGGCCTTGGGCAGTTTAGATTGACAGGGCAACACACAAGAGTCTAAAATCAAAATCGAACCTCCGCCTATGTCTACTAGAAGAAGTGTGGCCAAGAGAAAAGCGACCAAGTGAAGAGAATACATGTTGGGAATAAATGAACATAATTTTCCTGCCTGACCCCGTATTGTCGTATATATGGGGGCACTTAGACCGTATAAAAGTACAACAACAAAAAAGCAGTCATAGAACTGCATGTCATAAAATGCGGGATCTCTGACTGTACCTGACACTTGTCTCGCTTCAGATAACCGAACACGAATCTAAGGAGGTGTTCGCTTTTATTCTGAAGGACTGGGTGGCACATGCACCCCTTCACCACCTGCTTCCTGTCGCTCATAACGGAGCAGCAGGCGTCCTGGCAGCCCCCCTTTCTCTCTGCTGACTCAGTTCCTTCGCAGCAGTCCTGCCCATCCCCGAGAACGAGCAGCAGCAGTATCCTCCTCCGCCCAGCACAGCAGAAATGGCCAAAACCGCAATTGGTGAGCCTTTGGATTTCTCTTATCATGACGGCGATGCGCATTGCATGTATGCATGAGGATGTTGGGGATACGGCGACACCCATAGCACCCAAAAGGATGCTGAGGGGAGGTTGAGTGGCAACAGCTCCGCATACGTTGCACATCCATAACCCAAATTTCCGTATTAATGGTTTTTTTTGTTTTTTTTTTAATTGATGATTTAGAATTTGCATGCGACACCTTTTGTCTCCTCCTGACTGATAATCCAGACGAGGCACGAGTCAGTCAGTGACCCATATTTTATTAATTCATCAAACAAATCAAGGTGCTTGATTTTTATATACATTTTTTTGGCCCTTAAATGGGCGTTGCGGCACCGCCACCTGCCCCGTATTGCCTGAGTCACGGCCGCGCAGCATAATGCAGAGCCAGCGACCCCACCCAACATAGCTGGTGTACCCCCCCCCCACACACATATCCTCCCCCCTCAGCTGCCACTCCCCACCCTCCTTATCCTCATCTGAGCTCAGCAGCTTCGCTCCTGCCCTCCTAATTGCAATTGTGCTCTTTTATGTTGCTGTGTCCGTTCTGTTTTGCGAAGGGGGATTTCGCTTGTGCAAGGATGCATGATAGGGTGTCATATTTTGGTTGCCGAGTGGCGAAGATGTTTTCAAATCCATCAGTAAGGTGCGATAACGTGCAAAATCGAATACGGTAGTGATGTGTTTTAGGCCTCGGCATTCATTTTAGGCTTGTGCAATTAGCATTAGCAACACCGTGATGAATTTGAAAAGCGCTTGGTGTCTGGACTGCTCTGGTTAGTGTTCTGCTTGAAGAGGCGCTTGATGGATGGGGGGTGCGCGCAGACAGACAGAGAAGAGGGGGCGCCGGTGTCCCTGACCGTTTATATATTTATTTTCCGCCACCCTCCTTTCTTCCTCTCATCTTGGCTGAGCCTAGAAGGTCGAGAATGGCAAGGGTAGGCCATGTTTCGAGCTCCTCGTCATTGTTTCACTTTAATTTTTCAATACTGTGGGTTGACTATAAAGCGGCAGTGCGCCTCTGTGGTTTAAAAAGCCACGCACCCTTTTCAACATCCCGACAGGTTGTTGACTTGAAAGTGACTTGTCTATTCCCCTACGAAACACACGACGTTTGACATCCTAACATTCTGGAGAATCGGAAGGGGTGCGATCTTATCACAAACAATATGCACGCTCCCTTCAACATCCCAACAGAATGTAGATTAAAAAGTGGTGCGTTCATGTCCCTGATAAATTCCGACAGAGTCCAGATCACCAAATTGTGCGTTCCTCCCAGTGATCAACCCCCATTCAACATCATGACAGATTTTCCACGAAATCCTTCCAGATTCCAGTCTACGAAGTGGTGCGTAAATGCCCATAATAAAACATTCACCGCTTCAATAGCTTGACAGATTGTGGACTACGATTTGGTGCATCCATCTCCCTTTGACATCCTGACAGAATTTAGACTTAAGAAAGTGCGGCACACTCCCCCCCAGCAGCCCAACAGATCGCAGCGCATCCATCTCGCCAATGGGCCGCGCACCCCTCCCAGCGCTCCCACAGCCTAATCGGCCACGCACCAGAGCATTACTTAGAAAGGCGAGTTCATCTCACTAATAAACCGCGCACCCGCTACAACATTTGACAGAATGTAGACAAGAAAGAGATCCATCCGTCTACCTAAATAAGCCGCTCTTGGAAAATGTCTAAAATGCCTCGTATGCTCTGTTATGACCTCAAATTATCTTGTTTTTTTTTTTTAGTGCGAGGATAAGAAAGTGGAGCTTTTTCTCTATCTGTGTGATAATGTGTTCTCACTTCTGTGAGACAAAGCAAAATGTCTGTGGTTGTGGGGGCACCAGTTACATAATGCCCATAATAAAACATTCACCGCTTCAATAGCTTGACAGATTGTGGACTACGATTTGGTGCATCCATCTCCCTTTGACATCCTGACAGAATTTAGACTTAAGAAAGTGCGGCACACTCCCCCCCAGCAGCCCAACAGATCGCAGCGCATCCATCTCGCCAATGGGCCGCGCACCCCTCCCAGCGCTCCCACAGCCTAATCGGCCACGCACCAGAGCATTACTTAGAAAGGCGAGTTCATCTCACTAATAAACCGCGCACCCGCTACAACATTTGACAGAATGTAGACAAGAAAGAGATCCATCCGTCTACCTAAATAAGCCGCTCTTGGAAAATGTCTAAAATGCCTCGTATGCTCTGTTATGACCTCAAATTATCTTGTTTTTTTTTTTTAGTGCGAGGATAAGAAAGTGGAGCTTTTTCTCTATCTGTGTGATAATGTGTTCTCACTTCTGTGAGACAAAGCAAAATGTCTGTGGTTGTGGGGGCACCAGTTACATGAGGCGGATGATAATTGCTGCTTCGCCCTAAAGAGAATTAGGCCGATACTTCCTCGAGCAGCCACTGGGTTTTATTTTGAATCGTCTCCATCATTACGACACACTCGAGACTCTAAAGCGCTGTGTTCCATATTCCTCAAAAGCGCCTGTTTCCTGTCCACTGTCCAATTAGGTGTGGTCATGAAGCTCCAGATCGCCCCCGACACCCCCTCCCGGTTCGCTTCTGGTCCCCCACTTTTTTTTTTTTTTTGTCGCAGCCGAGCATTTGTCAGCGAGGTGCTTGCGCTAATCAATGGCGCACACGCCCATGACCGGCTGGGATGACAATTGCTCTTGAAAAGCAGCCTGAGAGGAATTGATGAGGTCATTTGATGAGGAGAGGGAGGGCGACTTACGTTCTTGCCAGTTCGCCACCATGAAGTACATTCGATTGACAAGAAACCGGATACGTATTCATCACGGGGAGGCACGTGAAAAAAATTTCAGTGAGTCAAAGGTCCATTTATCGCGGTTGTTCAAAACGTCCTTTTCATTCAAATTCAACAAATGTACAAAGTGAAGCGTAACCAATTAATTTGCTGTCGAGTTAGCAATATTTACACGGTGACCATTTAACTTCCTGAACTGTGTTCTTATTCTGAAAGTCAGACAGAGCGCAACACTTGCGGTGACTTTGAAATCGCTACGCAAAACTCTCACTCATAAACATCACGTCAAAACGCTCGCACGGGAATGCGCAGTTCACTCATTAGTTAATTGCTTAGCGGGCGCAGAGCAAATGTGACTTTGTGCTGATGTACGACTCGAAGCTCTCAATGGGGAAAGGCAAGGACGGGAATACATCCATCGACCAATCAGGACTTCCCCCTTGGCGATATTGACGAGCTGTTGGGTTCAGGTGATGGATTGAAACCGGAAGTGTGGAGCAGCTAATAACAATTTTTGTTCTCTGGTGGCGAGTGTCTGGGCCCCTCTGAGGGATTAAAAAGCCCCAGTGGGACTCCCATCAAAACCCTCGAGGTCTCCTCTTGGATCGAGATCAAGCGAAAGCACTTTCCAGCAGCAATTTGCAGACCTTGCCATTTCTTCCCAATTTTGCAGCCTTGTCAATGTGTCGTGAAGCAATGCGCACGTCCGCAACGGAGGTGCCGGCGCTCGCTGAGGCAGATCATTTGAGATCAGTGCTTCCGGAGCTAACTGACAGCTTCCAGGATTGGAGCCACGAGGGTTTCGCGTTTAATGGCAAAGCATCAAATTTGGGCACCAGACTCCACTTGCAAACGTTCAATCTTGTGTCGTTGTCCATTTGTCTCGGATCATCACGTATATTTTTGTGTCCTTCGGGTCATTTACATTGGTTCAGGTACACGGAAAAGGTCAAAATACCACAAAAATGGCACCATCAACCCTAAGAGCAGATCTGTGCATTTTCAACAGTGCTGTGTTTGCCCCCTTTCTGATGACTGTGTTGTTTGCATATTTATCACACACAAAGAGTTCGGCCCATTGAGCCAATTCACACAGAGACAACCCAAAGCAATACAAAATCCAGTTTTGAAATGCTCATTTAATTTATCAGGGCACAAAAAAAAAATCCCAAACTATCTGTTCTTATGTGAAAAAGTAATCACTCCCCTTGTTAAATCACAAAGTAATCGTGCCTAACGACAGTTTTGGGAAACCCAAATTAAATTTCACAGGCAACACCCAAGCACAACATTTGTTGAATCAAGAAATCACATAAATGGAAGCTGTCAGACAAAGTGAAGCTGCTTTGCTACCTCAGGACCAGGACAACTTTCTATGATTGATAGGTCAATGAGTTTTGCTGTCCACCAGAAAATCCTCAAGGAGGAGGTCCAACAATCAGTTCGCGGCCTCAAACTCACATCATCTTGGATATTTCTACGTGTGATATTAATCTTGGTTTGATGAACTGAAACCTTTGTGTGTGATAAATATGCAAAGAACACAGAAATCACTTTGTTCACAGCACTGGATGACTTCGTGTCTCCTGTCAAAGTGATTTTTTTGAGTGAATTCCCTTGGAGGAAGCAGTTCAGGTATCATATTCACTTTTTCCATACTTTCTGTACAGCAGGGATGGACAACCTACAGCCGCGTGAGCGCATTTAATCCGACCCGCCATGTAACTGTCAAAACAAAGGAAATCTTATTAAAACACAGCAAAAACCTTCAATCCACAAATTCTATCATATCATAACAAATGTTGCTTTTGTCTGAGTTTTTCCACACGCGTTCATACGGTTTTCAAAAGACAACCCCATACGGGCCATCATGGGAAAAAGGCTACTTGGCGGTGATTTACACACTTATTGGCCACTTCATTAGGTACCCCCGTATCCTGTCAGGATTACATTCTGGTCCGGTGAACTCCCAAGGAGGAAGATACAGTTACAACTATGGACGTGACCTAAATTTTTACCCCCCCCCCCCACACACACACACACAAATTTACTGCCCTACTTTTCAACAACCTATGTCAACAGTTTCTCAGCGTATAATGAAACATCATATTAAAATTGAATAGATGATCATATTAGAAGAAATAATTTTATAAAATCATTTTAGACTCCAGGCGGCCCGGTAGTCAGTGTTTAGCGCGTCAACCTCACAGTGCAGAGGTACCGGGTTCAATTCCCCCTCCCTGTGTGGAGTTTGCGTGTACTCCCCGGGCCTGCGTGGGTTTTCTCCGGGTCCTCCGGTTTCCTCCCACATTCCAAAAACATGCACGGCAGGCTGGTTGAACACTTTAAATTGTCCCTAGGTGTGAGTGTGAGCACGGATGGTCGTTTGTCTCTGTGTGCCCTGCGATTGGCTGGCAACCGGTTCAGGGTGTCCCCCCCCTACTACCCGAAGACAGCTGGGATAGGCTCCAGCACCCCCCCCCCCCCGCGACCCTTGTGATGAGAAGTGGATCGGAAAATAGATGGATGGACTTTAGATTCTTTTTCGAGGCCTCATGTAAATATTTTGGAACATTCTTGATTCGACAGTGCAGCAAAGCTCTCATGTGTGCCTAATGAAGTGTCTCAGGTGATCAAATAAGGGCTCTATGGAGAGCGTATAAGCTTCATAATTATGCATAAGCCGGTTCATAGTGTTACTATTTGCAGAGCAGCTGAGAGGCAAAATAATCATAAAAGGGTATGGGCCCATTAATAAATGCAAATGAAATCAAACAGTCCTCTGTGGAAGACGCCGGCAGCATCAAAACAACAGCAAGAAAGACAAAGCGCGCTTGGATAAGGGATGTATGGCCACCGAAGCGGTTTTTATTTTATGTTATTGATGTGTGATGACGTGACAACATGAAAGTGCTCATTGGGGGCCGGGGGGGGGGTGTTCATTAAATTCCATCCGTTCATCCTGTTTTTGCCTCGGCAGCTTACAAGGAGAAGATGAAGGAGATTTCCGTCTTCTCGCTCATCTGCTCCTGTCTCTACCCTGACAGCCGCAAAAAGACCCTGGGAGACTTTGAAGGTAACATGGAAGCTTACTTGTGCGTCACTCACGACCAAGATCAGGAGATGTTCACCCAAACGTGCAGGATAACGAAAACGACGATTCAAGCAAACATTTCATAAACGGAATAACGTAAAAATAAACAGGCTTTAAAAAACAGAATACTCACTGAAACTACATATTAGTTTTATAAAACTACAATGGATAATTATTGAAAATCTGTTTTCTGCTATACTGTATACACAATTCTCAATGTAAAAGTTGTGTAGCAGGGTGAGAATAGTTTTTGATTTTCTACTGTAGTTAGTTTTTAGGAATGTTTTTAAATTCAGTCAGTCTCAATTAGTTTTTTTAAGGATTCATTTAGGGTTTTTTTTTTAATTTTGCCACAGATGGATTATTTCTTGAGTGTAAGATAACAAAAAAAAAACCAGGTCATAAAGTATTGTCTAATAAAATATACGACAATCGCCCAACAACTGTTTGACCTTCCGTCTTCATACATTTTAAATGAACCCCCGAAAACTCATGTAGTAGATTAACTGGCAAAGATGAAAACACAGCACATATCCCCGATAATTATAGTTAGTTTTATAAACGTAAGCTGTAGTTTCGGTTAGTTTTCATGAAATTAAAAGTGAACACCTACTGAAGCGAGCCTTGTCGTTTGCCAGAGTTGGACATCAAGCCGATCAACAAGCGCGCGTCGGGCCAGGCCTTCGAGATCCTCCTGAAGCCGACGTCGCCCGTGTCGGACACTGCCCACTGCGTCACCTCGCCCCCCAAGAGGGACATCTCCCTGGACGACATCCAGAAGAAGCTGGAGGCCGCCGAAGATCGCAGGAGAGTAAGCGCCTTCTCGTCATACTTTTTGTTTTGCCTGCCAGCAAACCGATAGCTACAATTAAAAAAAAAAAAAAAAAGACCACAACACTAAGTGAGACCGAGACATGAGGCCCGCGCATAAAGGCGAGTTGACTCACCCGAGACCTCAGAGGCTCAGATTTGGTTTTGTGGGTTTGACTGCTAGTTTCGTGATGCGATTTGTGTCGGGCGTCAGTCTCAGGAAGCGCAGGTGCTCCGGGCGCTGGCGGAGAAGCGCGAACACGAGCGCGACGTGTTGCTGAAGGCCATGGAGGAGAACAGCAACTTCAGCCGCATGGCCGAGGAGAAGCTCCATCTGAAGATGGAGCAAATCCAGGAGAACCGCCAGGCCTACCTCGACGCGCTCATGGAGCGCCTGCACCAGAGGGTGAGCGCTCCAAATTCTTCCAAATGTCAAAAGCCGCCAGTTGAGCGTCTTTGGCCAGCGGTCTGAGAAATGAAACACTGCCCTCTACTGTCAACTTTAGCGAAATACAAAGTGCCGGCGCACCTTAGCCTCTTTGTGACAGTGTGTTGCAAACTCGCTGATATTCAACTTACATTAAAGATCACAACAGTAGAAGAAGAATGTTTCGATTTCAATTTATTATTAGAACTTATTTTTCACAGCTATGTGCCTGTGCGTATATATTACGTGTCGGGCACGTCGTTTGAGTGAATATTCGTTACTCCTGGAGAACCGTGTCTATTTTCTTGCAGCCCGTCAATAGCGTTTTACATTCCATGTTCACATTAAGAATGTTTTGTAGTTTGTATTTAAATACGCCATATGTGAAGATCTTTTTGTTCTATGAACGCTAACTGGATTGTCAATATACAGAAAGGCAGACCTTCGTCTTCAAGTCAAACCCAAAGTCACAATTACGTTCCGATTAATCGCCCGAGCCCGCGCAGTTCTTTGCCCTTTCTCTGACAATACCTATCAGTACTAAAATACAATTAGATCATTTGAGCAGTGTATTTTGTGTTCAATTACAATACGTTTGACCATAATTTTCCACACTAATGGCACTTTTCCTCAAGTTTCATTTTATTACAGTAACCCAATCAATCTAAAATGAAAAAACCCTCTGAAAATAAGTCAAGTTTTACCACATTTTCATCATGCGACAAAAGCTAACTCAATTTGACTTTATGACAGCTCCCAAAATGTTTTGTGGGCCCAATTGGACCCTGGGTCGGCTGAATTCTCTTTGACGCAGGGAAAGGGAGGACTGGGAAACCAAATCACTTCGGGTTGGACTAACATGACTTGCCTTTCCCCCCCAGGAGAGGCACGCTCAGGAGGTGCGCAGGAACAAGGAATTGAGAGAAGAGGTGACAGCGTGAGGAGCTCCCTACTCACCTCCAACCGCCCCCCCCCCCAGGTCTTTAGTGTCCACTCAACAAACTTCCGCCCTCCTCCCCTGGGTCCTAGTCCCCACCTACTATAAAAAAAAAAAAACAAACAAACAAAAAAAAACGCCACCAGTTCCTTCCTCTTTTCCATACAACCACAGAGCATTCCAAGACCGAGGCGCACACGCGGGAGGGTTTTGGTGGAAGTCTCATTAATAATCACAAAAAAAAAAAAAAAAAACGTAAATCAGCCACTCTTCTCAACAACAACAAAAATGGAATCTGATTGCCAGAAAGCAACAGCGGTGGTGTAAATACTTTTTTTCCTTATATCCAGTACAAAAAGTATCGATTGTAGTCTGCCATTTTTTTGTTGTCATTACGTTTATTTTTGTTGTTGCTTTGTGGCTTCGATGTTTTGGTGGTGCGTTTGCAAGCTCCCCCTTTCCGTCCCGCTAGTTAGCATTTATTGCTAAGCTAACGCATAGCATCCCTAATCTCTTTCTTGGTCAGTCACACGCGTTTAGCATAGCACACAGCTAATTAGCATTTAGCTACGCTGCAGAAGACAACAAACTGGAATCCTGCCATCTCATCTTCTATCCCACTTTAAGGAGCAAATCACGCCTGAGGACGAACCCCGTTAGTTGGTCCCATTTCACGTGATTTGTTGACCGTGTGTGTGTGTGTGCGTGCGTGTGTGCGTGCGCGTGTCTGCATTAATGTACATCTTTGTCAATCAAGCTGTGGTTAATAAAGATTTGGGGTTCACTGAAGAACATGGCCTAACTGTGATGATGTGGGATGCTTTGGATCATGAGCTGTTTTTTTTTAATGATCTTTTAATTTATTGCGTACCACGTCTAGCCACATGGTGGTGACAAAGCTCAGGTTTTCAAAATAACCCCGTCAGACAAGTGGTAATAGTGTAACTATAACAATCAGAATTGATTGTTCATTTAACATTTTAAACCACCACGGAGCTACAGCTAGACCACAACTGAGAATGTGTCATAATATAATTATGCTTACGTTCGCCGAAGTTTTTGTTTAAAAGTGTTTTCCCTAATCTAGTTTGGTTCCCACTTGATTACACTGAGCAAATTGGTAAACAGAACTCCCAACTCGTTTATGACGTAGGTGTACCTAATGACTTGGCCGGTCCCATCTCTGGAAGCCGTTCCCACACGGCGCTCGGGGCGTGGGGGGTGCTTGGTGGGCTGCCAGGATATCCCCTCCTTGTTAATGGCTTCCTGTGTGTCAAACACACACGACAATGACAACAACACACACACACCACACACACACACACACACAAACTATTACACTCAACACGGAGACATTGATTCATCAGGGCCTGTTTATTAAAAGGAAGTGGTGCCAGTGCGCCTCCAGGGGGTGTGCCACAAACCGAGACTTTGACGTTATCGGTTATAGCAGTTCGTTTTTTTGCTTTTTTTAAGGTACATGGGGAGACTGGGGGTACGCCAAGATCTGTTGGGATATTGAACCGGGTGTGTGGCGTGAAAAGTTTTCAGAGATCCAGATGAGCCCACAGGTAATTCATCAGAGCTTTTTTATTTAGGGTGGTTGTCATGAGCAATAAGAAAAACTTCAAAAGCGGTGGTGCGAACACACCTATGAGTGCTCTCCAGAGGATGGGCAAGATTAAAAATGTTATAGTGGTCTTGTACAATGATTTTGTTTTGCTATTTGAGAGGTGAAATGGGTGCACCACCTCTGCTGGAATGCTGAAGGAGGTGTGCATGGTGAAAAGTTTGTGACGGGGGGGTGCACAGCTTAAAAAATAGCTCTAAAACACACAAGTCATACAATATGCGTTGGAGGAGTTAGTATATTGACAGGCCCTGGACTTGATAAGAACAGATCTGAATGTAGTGTCGGAAGGCAAGGGGGTGCGCTCCGCTTCTGTTGCTTGTGTCAAACAAAATCAAACAAAACACCTGGTTTGGCTTATTCCACGCCATAAACCGCTCTCTAAAGAAGCGGGGCCCACCCCCGCCCCTCACCAACACTGGGCTGTTTCAGGTTCAAACAAAGGGCTTGTGTGCAAGGGGGTGCATGGGTGGCTGTGAGTTGTTTACGCCTTGTTTTCTTGCATGGGAAGTTGACAGACGACTGCTTGACCATATGGAAAAGTTGTTCCCGACTGCCAAACGACTGAGGGAAAAATTTTAGGTGGGAAGGCACAGAGATTAATCAATAGAGTAAATCCCTCTTGTTGCACACCTCTCCCTGTGCACCCCTTCTACGTGACACGAGAATGTCTTTGGCATTGAGAAACAACATAGCGAGACCACTATCCACGAGAAGGTCTTTGGCATTGAGAAACAACATAGCGAGACCACTAGACGGGTGCAAATGAGGGGAAAGATGGTGGCTAGAGTGAACGGATGATAGTTAGAGAGGGTGGGTGACGGCTAGACGGGTTGAGTAAACGGATGGATGTTACAGACTTGAGGAGACAGGTGAAGACCAGAAGGGATGCGGGGAGGAAAGAAAGTCCATGACAAATAAAGGTTACTGATAATGAGTTGCAAAACATATGGAGGCAAGAGGGAATGGGGGACAGATAGGCTGGAACTGGAAGAGGATGGCAAAAATGAGATGGAGGACGAATTAAAGGGACAGGGGTGGCTAGATGGGGTTGGAGACAGGGGGCAAGGGTGGTGGGGACAGGTGTGGATTGGGACAGAATTGGTAGACGGGGAATAGAAAACAATTGAGAGATAAATCTTGGACGAGTCCAGCTCATTGAGAGTCTTTTTGGGGCAGTCAAAAAGCTCCAATCTCCATCCCCCAAGGTCTGTAAGGTTTGCCCACGGGGGGAACCGTCGGGGTCGGCGGGCTGAGGGCGGCAGCCGTAGTGGGGGAAATGAGTGGGAATGCTCCGAAGGGGAACGGGAACGCCGAGAGGAGATGCTTGGTTGTTGATGAGGACAACAAAGCGGGGTGCAAGACGGTCCCGGCGGGGGTCCTTCGCACGCTGGGTGGCAACTGTTCTGAGTGAGGGGTCGCGGTCCCGCTTCGCCTGCCGGGGGGATGAGTCTCAGCGGACGGCGATGACGAAGCAGAAGAGGACGGCGAGCGGGGGCTGCTACTTCCGCAGCGGGGCAACCCGGCCACGAGCAGCGGGTGGGACATGTGGGCGGCCGGCGAGGCGAAGGCGGAACCCCACGCCGCCAGGTGGCCCAGTCCTGAGTGGGCCTCGCGCTGGCTGGCATAGTTGTTCAGGTGTGACACCAGCCGGATCCTCAGGGGGTCGGCGTTGTCCAGACCTTCCATGACGCTGAGGTAGCGCGCCGTCTCCGCCAGGCACTCCCGGAAACCCAGACCACGGTAATCCATTGCTAGGGCGTGGGCATCGAAAAAGCCTGAAGGGGGGTAGGCGCTTCAATTAATCTCCACATGCAACCCATGTCCCGCCTCCATGGGTGGAGGCATAAAAAAACTAAAGCCCCCATTCAAAACAAGTTTACTCAGAAAACAATGCAACAAGCCTGTCTGACCCATTTCGGTGGGTCATGTCGCCCTTTGACATATTGCATGTTAAAGGGTAACGGGAACCTCCACATCGCAACCATTTTACCCAGAAATTGAAACCCTTTTGGTGGGTGTCTACCACTCAAGAAGGAACTATTTTGGTGGGAAAAGTAGCCACTTAAGCCAATGTGCCTAAACGGCATAAGGCCATTAAGGTGGGTTGGGTAGCACCACGGCTTGCACCTACGGGTAAAGGGAGCACTTCGATTCCGCATTCAAGCAAATTGTACCCCATAAAACACAACTGTGGTCCCTCCACATGTGCCGCCTAGACGGTGTGGGTAACTTCAATTACACTTCACAGTCAAACGAGACCGTCCATCCAAACCTCAAAACCATTTTGGCGAGGAACTACAACTCTGCTAATTTGTCAGAGCCCTTAATTGATGGTCAGGATTTTTAAAAATATATATTTAAAACACAAACAAAAGGTGTACCTTTGCCACCGGCGGCATGGAGCATCTTCAGGTGGTCGACGGTCATCTGTAAAATTTCTGCTTTCTCCAACTTGGCCGAACCCTGAAGTGCGCACGGCATGTGCAGGAAACAGCGTAAATAAATCCATTCGGAATCGACTAAATAGAATGAAAGGTTTCCAAACAAGACACACACACCTGCTTCTCGAAGGCGCTCGGCACTAGCCGCCGCAGTTCACTCAGGCTGTTGTTGATTCTGTCTCGCCGACGTTTCTCGATGATCTAATAACGAGGGACAAATCCGCCATTTCAATGGCCCGTCCACTTTTTGCTTTGCTTATTTTAAAACGGCAAATTGGACTCACCCCTCGCCGCCTCTTCCTCGCCTGCACCTGAATGGAAGCGCTTGGTGATGTCGAGCTCAGAGGAGAGCGAATATTCCTGAATAATAATCACAAAAACAAAGACTTTTTTTTCAAGGTGACTCGACAAGCATTCCTGAAAAACACCCGCCGAATAAAGATGTTAAAAAGATAGTTTTTCAAGTTGACGCAACAAGTGCTCCCCTATTCTGAATTGTCGGCGTCGTATTTAAAGTCAGTTTCGAACTTTTTTTTCCATCTTAGTCGTATTAAAACACTTTTTATTCGCCGGCTTTTGACTCCGCGTTCGGCTCGGCATTATTTAAGTGTTTAATGGTGCTAGCGCCATTTTTTGTAACCGTTTACAGCATTTTATAAGAAGCAATGGTACTTTAAACTGTATAAATAAAGTGGAGTTGAATAATAACCAGAACAATCAAGACGTGATGAAGTTAATTTTACAAGTTGACCATGATTAACTATTACCGAATAAAAAGCACAAAATAAAGATGTCAGAGTTATTTAACCAGAAAAAAACAAGCCATTGTGAAAATGATTTCCTGAATAACGACCACAAAAATAAATACGTCGTCAAGTTAGTTTTTAAATTGGGTCAACGGGTAATCCCTTTTGAAAATTTACGTTACAGTTCTAAAGTAATTTCTCAAAGTGAGTCCAGTCAGTGTGTGGCGACGATGCAACAGAAACCAACGTACCCGCTCTCATCCGCGCTGTCCTTCTCCACCTCGATGGCTTCGTCCAGCTCGCTGTCTGACGAGCTGAAGTCGTGGCTCCTCTTCATCGCGTCCGCGCTGCTCGTCGTCGTCGCGATAAGGAGCGCAATCACAATTGTCGTAATCCTCCGCCAGCGTGTGAGTGCGAGTTGCGTGTGGCTGCCTCGGCGTTCTCACGGTGTCATTTGAAGGTACTGGAGGGGAGGGGACGGCGCAGGAGGGCGGGACCGCCCCGGAAGCAGCCAATCGGAGAGCGAGCTAGCGTTTTGATTGACGGGCGGGCTGGACACGCGTTTCGGCCAGTCTGAGAGTAGAGACGATCGCGGGAAATAAAGCGTTCTCACACTTGGAGAAATTCAAAGGCCGGTCTGTGACGTCATGTGCGCGCTGGGTGGGCGCCGTCTTGAAACCAAGCCTGAGGGGGACAGGTAGAGGGGATGCACGGCTTGAAGGACTGGAAGAGGTCACGGTGGGCGTTTAGAAGTGATTGGGCAGCCCCAGAGGGGTAATTTGGATATTTGGACAATTTTCCGGCTAAATGCGCTGCAATGGGCTATCAGTCACACAGTGACTGGTTGAGTTAACGAAGACGTGCAGAGCAAAAGAGTGATGATGGGACTGGACAGGCAGAGGACATGAGTACGGGTCGATGGGGCGGACGGCTATCGCACAAGGGATTGCTTCAACTCAACGCCACATGCATCTAATGAAAGCTGTTGACCATTTTTTGAAGGTGTGTTCGGGTGATGCATCTTCATCAAAATAGACGATCTTTGGAGAACATTTGACAGCGGTCCAATAGACGTTTGGTCCGTGGCTGCGCTCTCCCCCCCTCCGCCCCCGAGCCCACCAGCCCTTCTCGGTGTGCTTGCGTGCGCGTCCCAGTGGCCGCAACGGTGGTTGGCCGGCTGTCAGCACGCGTTGGGCCGTGGGAAAGTTCCCCCCGGCCGGCGCCGATAACCAATCAGAGGCCGGCGGGCCATCTCCTCCGGCGCTGCTCTGAATGGAGCAATTGGTCGGCGGGGCGACGGGCCGTCTGCTCGCGAGCGTGTGAACGTGTAATACAATACACATACACACACACACACACACACACACACACACACACACACACACACACACACACACACACACACACTGAGCACCGCACACACCG